TGAATATTTGCTTCAAACATTAATTTTATTAAAATGTTTATCTCCATATGGTTCTTAAGTGTTAACATTTGGGATTTTTAAATCCCTTTTTAATTCTAGTAAGGCAGTATCTTTTTTTTTTTTTTTTTTTTTTTGAGACAGAGCCTCAAGCTGTCCCCCTGGGTAGAGTGCTGTGGCATTACAGCTCACAGCAACCTCCAACTCCTGGGCTCAAGCAAGTCTCCTGCCTCTGCCTCCCAAGTAGCTGGGACCACAGGCGCCCACCACAACGCCCGGCTATTTTTTGGTTGCAGCCGTCATTGTTGTTTGGCGGGTCCGGGCTGGGGATTCAAACCCACCACCTTAGGTGTATGTGGCTGGCGCCCCAGCCGGTTGAGCTATAGGCGCCGAGCCATAAGGCAGTATCTTATTATCTGTGATCATGGAATTGTCTTTATCAATTCTAAAATCCTTAGAGGTCTCATGTGAAAGTGAATTTTAGGAGAAAAGGGAAAGTATTGGATTCTTTTTCTACAAAAGTGGATGTCAAAGAGTAGCAGACTTTGGGAGGCTACACCCATGGAATGTACAATATAATTTGAACAAAGATTTGGATAAGTCTCTAGATAGTTCTTCTGAGTCACTTATTAAGAGCCTGTGGGACGGCCTAGTGAATGTCCTTCGTGTTTGAAGGCTGATCTTTTCAAGAATCATTACAGATGGGACTCACTGTCTCTTTCTAATTGTGTTTTAGCTCTTTGGGGAGAAAAATTAGACTAAGCCTAAGCATTCTAAATAAACAGTAGATATTTTAAAAGTGGTTTGGAGAAGATGTCTCGTTCCTATTGCTTAAGCAATTTCTTTGCCCCTACTGTGTGGCTTCTGTTGCAGTTGAGTCTGTGCTCTCTTCTATTCCTTTTCCCTCCCTTTTATTTTTAAGGGTATATTTAAAAACAAGTTAACATTCACTGAAAGTTAATGGAAAATGAAAATGGATATAGGCATAATCTATAATTGCTATAAATTCATATATGCTGCCTTCTAAATGATGGGGCCTAAGTAGGTTTGTTGCTTGATTTCCATTGCCATCTCTATAGGCTTTTATTTTTTTGATTTCAAATTAATATAAGAGTACAAATTGGGGGGTTACATTGTTCTCAGCTTCTATTTCCACAGCTCCAGAGTAAGGTCCCATTTGGTTCTAGAAAACCTCATGTCAAACATATGAGCAAATCTTGGTAGGTGCTTGCTTTTTGTTGATTGCTTAATAAAGTCAATTTGTAGGATCACCTAATCGGTGATGGAATAAATCAGTTCTCTAGGTGTATCTGCTGTGTCATTAGGTTACATTGTCCTTTTCTTTCTTACTCTATCATAGTTGACCACCTCCCTCTATGTAAAACATATTTACATTTTCTTTCATTTCCAACCATATTCTCCCTTTAGTATTCCTTACAATTTATTATTGATTAAAAAATATATTAAATATAGAAGAAATTGCCTGGATGCTTACTGTATTCCATGTTATAGATAAGCAGTCTGATGCTCTGGAAAGTTATATGATTTCCTGAAACCTATTTAATGGCAGAATTAGACCCCAGGCGTCCTAATTTTCATTGAGTGTGATTTCTGCTGCACATATCTAGACACAATCACCAGTTCCCAAGGATAAGATTAAAGAACAAATTAGCAAAATACCTAAATTTAGAAGGCACATAGGTAGAAAAAAGATGTTTTTTCTTATTCTCAAATAATTCAAGAGAACTGGTTTTGTGCTTCACTTTCCGGGAAGTATAGTAAGGAAAGTGAAAAACTAAAAAATTTAAGCCGTGTATATTAAGAAATTCTGTAACAGATTCTTTTTCCCGAGCGGTAGGCATGGAGAGAGTAAAGAACAATGTCGTGATGGCTGGAGGGTACCTTCTGAGTCTATTGTCATGTTTTTATTGTCCTTTTTTGTAAAGCAAGGGAGTCTGTACCTGTTTAATAACAGCACAATAGGTAGAACCAGATTCCACTCTTCAGTTTAGGTAAATAAAGAATCGATATTTTTTCGTGTTCAAAATTCTTTACTTACAGTTGTTCACTATCCATTTTTTTCTTCTAACCTTCTCCAAGCTGCCTTTAATCCTCCTGCAATTATACATGGGAGGCCTCAACATTAGGCCTCAAATTAAAACAACTTTTATTGTTTAATGGCTTTCTTTTACTTGTGTTTTTCTTCCCTCACTGAGGCATTTGCTGCTGCTACTTGAGTTACTGTGCCTTTGTTGTCTTCAGGGTGCTTTTTCCTAACTGTTAATAACCTCAGACATTATGCAAGATTGAATATTGGTCTCTGGTCTTAAATATACTTTCTAAGTGTATAAATTAATTATGTTTAATGGATTCAGCTGTAAGTTTGTTCCATAAACATCTGTTTACCAAACACTATTTGAGATGCTAGGGACACAGAAACAAATTAGACATAATCTCTGCCTTAAAGCAGCTTTCAGACTCACCTGCTAATTGTTGTGTAATGTAGTAATACCATAGGTATCACGGATTTTTTATAGGAGCTCAGAGAGGACATTTCATAGTGTGGCAGACAGTTTGGGGTCAGGAAGTGTACCCTAAAATGGGTAACACTTTAGATTTTAAAGAAGGACTATAAGCCAGGCTGAAGGGCGCTTTGGGGATGTTAATCTAGGCAGAGGTTACAGCATGAGCCAAAGCATGAATGTAAGAAACAGCATACTGTAAAGTATAAGTATGTTTGTATTTGGAGAGCTTAAAATGTGAAGCAAGGATTGATAGGAGGTGGAGCTAGAGGGAACCAGATCCAACGTTATACCACGTTGAAGAGCTTACATTTTCTCTTAGGATGTGGGAGCTTTATGGCACATCCTTTGGTGAGGAGAGCATAGGGTCACATTATAGAGATAAGTCTAATAGCTCTATAAAAAATGATACATTAATATAGTCTAGTAGTTCTGTAAAATGGTATACTAGTTATCTATGAATACATTACAAATTATACAACTTCCTGGTTGCTAAGACAGCAGACCTGATTATCTAACACTTCCTATGGTTCAGGGGAAGGAGAGAGGAGGGAGTTAAGAAACACTTAGGATATTAAATCATGAAAACTTGGTGATTGGCAGCATGGGGTTAGAAGGGAGAAGAAGGAATTAGAGTGACATCTGATTTTTCTTGGTTCTTAAATCACTATGGACTAAAGAATATATTGACTTGAAGGTGGCTGAAACTCCTGTCAGTGTTGAGCTTTCCATCATCGTCACTGCCACCCCCTCCACACTTCTGGTCATCTAGGGTTCTTCACATTGCTCTCCTCGTGTCTTTCACTAGTTATTTTTCTCTGTTTAGTTTTCCTATTGGTCTCTGTTTGTATTGTTACTCTCTTTATCCAAGTACTTTTCACTGTACATTTTAAATATGGAAAAAGTCTCTTGATGTCTTTCCTGAGCCCTTTTACTTTCTTTAATCCACATTCTGAATCACCTGGTGTCTGTCTATCATTTATTCAGTCATCTGTTATCTCAGCCCACTGTACGACCAGCAGTTTATTAGACCTCCTTGGGATTTTAATAGTGAGCAAGACAACATTGTCTCTGTTCCGCTGGGTCCTTTTTAGTAGCTTCTCATCCCTTTCCATATGTAAAAAATACCACTGATTCTTAAGGTGTGGGTCACTTCTACTCTTCCTGTGCCACCTTCCTTGAATTTATTTGCATCTCCTACAGTTATTGTCAGGCAAAAAGTTTTATAATACTTTGAAAATTTTGAGATTCTGTAAGTTGGGTTTTTGTTGTTGTTGTTGTTGTTGTTTTGTTTTGTTTGAGACAGAGTCACACTCTATGGCCCTAGGTAGAGTGCAGTGGCGTCATAGCTCACAGCAACCTCAAACTCTTGGGCTCAAGGGATCCTCTTCTTTCAGCCTCCCAAGTAGCTGGGACTACAGATGCCTGCTACAGCGCCTGGTTAGTTTATCTATTTGTAGAGACGGGGTCTCACTCTTGCTCAGGCTATTCTCGAACTTCTGAGCTCAGGCAGTCCACCTGCCTCCGTCTGCCAGAGTGCTAGGATTATAGGCCTGAGCCACTGCACCTGACTAGTTTTATAAGTTTTGAAGTGAGCATTGGTTTAAACTATTAAGTGTAATAAAGCTATTTCTGACCTCCCCTCTTACTCTACTTCAAGCAGTAGAATAGTGCATTACCACCCCGACTCATTGGAATCACTTGGAGAGCTTTTTAAACACATATGCCTGGACATTTCTTCAAAGATTCTGTTTCACTATGTCAGAAATGAAATCAAAACAAGACTCTCAGGTGAATTTGATGTGTGGCTAGTTAGAAGTACCCTTGCTATTACATGAATAATTCTTTTATGTACATTTAATCATCCAAATAGCCTAAAGCAATTCAGTGTTTCAAACACACATTGAAGACTAGCTATATCAAAACATATAGGCTTTTAGGTCTCATTCCTAGAGGTGCTGAGTTGATCGCATCTGTGGTTTGTAGCCAGGCCCCTATATTTTATAAATAAGGAAAGATGACTGGTAATCAGGTTTGAGGAATATTAGATAAATAAACTGATATATTAATTGTTTTGTATTTTGCTTATCAATACCATTCAGATTAATGCATATAAATATTTGATAAATATTAAAGAACAGTCAGCATAACTATCTGTGATTACTTGGAAGGTTCTGAACATAGGCAGTTACATTTTAAATAATAGTTGAACATGTACTGTGTTAAAATTTTTAGATGACCCAATGTTGTTAGGTTTTATAACTTTAGTCTTTCATGCATTGGTAAATTTTTTCTAGTTTTTGTACTTTCTCATAAAATAACTGATGACATGGAAAATTTGAAACATTCATCCTTTTTTTCTCCCTCATATTCTGATATATCTTACTGTACTATGGAGAGGTATATTATTATAATACTTTCTTGCAGGATGGAATTGTCAGGATGTGGTTTTAATAAAGGTATTGTCTTTGTTTTCCTTAGTGTTATTCCTCTTTTAAGAGAGTCTGTTGGAATATTAATGCAGAGAACTCCTCCCATGTTGGAAAATACTCTTCCTCAGTGCTATCAGAGGGTAAGTTTCAAACCTTCCAAACCATTGGATTTTATGTTGTTTCCAAACTGTTAGGGTTTTCAGCTTTCACAAATATGGGTAACATATGTGTATAATTGAATATTTCTTCCAAGATGCAGACCATGAATGCCCATGCAGGCCATTTATACAAACCAGAATAAAATCCTTGGAAAATATTGAACTTTACAAAAGAAAATGTGGTGGAAATTGTCATCATCTAGAAATTGAATAGTTATTTTAAAATATAGAACATGGATAGCGAATGATATAAACGTTTATACACTTGTATTTTTTGAGCTCCCCCTCTGTGCCAGGGACTCCTCTAAGGCACTGGGATGAAATGGTAAACAAGACATGCAGTGTCTTTGTTCTCATGGAGCTTACGTCTATGGAGAAGCAGAAGCAGTAAATAATACATTGATAGATAAGATAATATCAGTGATAATTACTATAATTGAAATAAAATAAGGTGATAGGCATAGATGGCTCCAAAAGCTTCACCGAGGAGTTACATTCAAGGAGATTGAAACTTTGGCAATAAGGAGCTAACCATATGAAAATCTTAGAGAAGAATGTTCCAGGCAAAGGAAAATGCTAATGCAAAAGTGCTGTGGCTGGAACTAATTTAGTGTTTTTGAAGAATAGAAAAAAAGGCCATAGTGGCTGAAGCATAATAAATAAAGGGAAGAGTGGCTTGAAAGGCTGGGGAGAATGGAAGGAGCCAGATCATGTACGGGTTGTGGTCATATTAAGAGGTTTAGATATAATTCTAGTTCAATGGAAGGGATCAGAAAGCTTTTAGGTAAGGGAAATGTCATAAATCCTGTGTTTTTAAAAGATTATTTTGTTTGCTCTGTAGAGCACAAATTCTATGGAGAATGAAAGGAAAGAAAATCAATTATGAGGCTGTTAAAAAGTGAAAGAAATGGTGGCTGAGACTAATTATAGCAGTGAAGATGGAGATGAATATACATTTGGGTTATGTTTTGGAGGTAGATTATATTGGCAGAGAGGGAAAAAGTGTTGGTTCGCAATTTTGTAGATAGTAATGCTACTTGTTAAGACTGAGGCTGAGTTGGTATAGGTTTGAGGACGTAAAATCCCCTAAATGAAGAGTTCTGTTCTGGATATATAAAAATTGAAATGCTTCTTATATTTATAGGGAAAATGTGAATTAAGTAGTCAGATATGCAGTTCTTGAGTTTTGGGGACAGAATATAAGTACAAAGAGTTCTGAGTCATCGGTATATGAATAGCATCTAAAACATTAATACTGTATGAGATTGCCTGGAGAGAGGTTATAGTTCTATTCTCTTAGCTCTAATCTCAACTCAAGATTTGTAGTACAAGTGGGAAAGCAAGTGAGGGAACTAGAAAATAAAAAGAGCATGGGATAACGGAGTTGAGGAGAGAGACGTCATCAGCTGTGCCTGCCAAATATTTCTGTGGTATCAAGCAAGGTAGGAACAGAGAGGCAATCATTGATTGGCATCATGAACATCATTTGTGACCTTGATAAGAGCAGGTTCACTGGCATGTTGGGAAAGAGAGCATGATTTAAGAGAATTAAGGAGAAAATGCACTGAGGAAGCAGGGACAGTGTTATTGTTAAAGGGAACAAAGAAATGAGTTGATAGCCTGAATATGGATGTTGTATCAGGAGAAGAGGATATTTTATGGGTTTAAGATCAGCAAAGAGGGTATTTGTTTTGAAAATAGGATATTTTAAAACAATATTATTCCATAGGAATTTCCTGATATGGAAATGTTCTATAATCTGCACTTTTTTTTTTTTTTTTTGACAATATAGTTTTAGCTAGAGTGCAGTGGCATGATCATAGCTCACTGCAGCCAAGCTCCTGGGCTCTAAAATTATCCTACCACGCCAGACTCGTGAGTATCTAGCACTATAGGTGAATACTGGCTAATTTTTAATATTTTTTGTAGAGGTGGAAGTCTTAACTGTTGTCCAGGCTGGTCATAAGCTCCTGGCCTCAAGCAGTCCTCCTGCCTTGGCCTCCCAAAGTGTTGGGATTATAGGCCTGAGCCACCATGCCCAGCCGCACATATAGATCCCAGCACTTTAGGAGCCACATGTGGCTAGTGTAACTGATTGTTTTGAATAACCACAGATGTCTAGTGCCTTTTGTGTTGGACATCACACTTCTAGAACATGTGTGTTACTGACAGGAACAGTCCAGTTGAGAGGAAGACATGAATGGTAGGGTAGTGAAGGAGATTATTAAAGGAATGACGTTCTTGAGGTAAGAAGGAATAGAACCCAAAGCACAAAGGAAGGATTAATTGCAGACAAGAGCAGGGATACAGCATCCCCTATGGGAAAGAAAAAAGGACCCACATAGATAAGGGTCATCAGGAAGATTTAATGATACAGATGAGAGAATTTCTGTGAGCGTCTATTTTCTCTGCAACTTATAAGGCAGTTTAATTATGCAGAAAGATTAGAAGGCCACAAGAGCTATAAACTAGGCTTTTGAGATGGAGAAAGAGAAGTGTTACCCACTTAAGGTTTCTGTTACGATTTTAAGATCTTTTTTTTTTTAAATACACTGTTGGATTTAGCTTATTTAATTCATAAGAGAAATTAATTTATGATTTATTGACTTTCTTATAAGGTAGCAACTGTTTTCTATTTTTCTGGAAAAATGAACAAGCTACCTATTCCTTGGAAGTTTTGTAGTCTGAGGCTTTTTTCAAAGGAAGGTTTGTTACCTTTCCAGTTTTTAACTGTCCTGCGACTTTCCTATTTTATTTTTTTATACAGCATTTTCTGTATTTCCAGAAATTTATCCATTTTGTCTAGATTTTCAAAGTTGTATTTTTATTCATGTTATTATATATATACTACTTACTAAACACTTCCTCAGACTAGGCACTGTTTTAGGTGCTGAAGATAGAAAACGTGAAAAACAAATCAGAAGGATGGGCGCAGTGGCTCACGCTTGTAATCCCAGCACTTTGGGAGACCCAGATGGGTGGATTGTTGGAGCTCAGGAGTTTGCGACCATCCTGAGCAAGTGCAAGACCCTCCCCCATCTCTAAAAAATAGCTGGGCATTGTGGCAGTCCTAGCTAGTCAGGAGGCTGAGGCAAGAGAATCACTTGAGTCTAGGAGTTTGAGGTTGCTGTGAGCTATGATGCCACAGTGCTCTACTGAGGGCAACATAGTGAGACTCTGTCTTAAATAAATAAATAAATACTTTCCTAACTGTATAGAGCTGAAGTTCTGCTGGAGAAAACAGGAAATAAACAATATAAAAACAAGATAGATAGATAGATAAGGTACTATTCGGCCAAAAACAAAAACCAAGCAAGGAAATGTAGAAATGAAAAAAACATTGTCATTTTAGATAAGATAGCCAGAGAAAGGCTTACTAGAAAAATGGCATTTGAGTAAAGACCCAGACAAAGTGTACCATCCAGAAATCTAGGAGGAAAAACACTCCTGGCAGAGGTATGGCAGGTACCCTGAGACAGCAGTGTGTCTGATGTTTAAAAGGATGGTGAGGAGACTGGGATTCTGATGAAGAGAGAGCAAGAGGAGGTCGAAGACTAACGGGTTCCACAGGCGTGGGTCTCCGTGCATCATTGTAACACATTGGTTTAACTCAGCGTGAAGTGAACAAAAGATCGGGGGTATCTAATCCAAAATAACAGCATCTCCCTTGGGCTACTGTTTTGAGAACAGATGGAAGACAGTGCAGGTGAATTAAACCAGTTAAGAAGCAATTATAACATTCCAAACTAGAGATATTGTTGGTGTGGCCTAGGCCAACAATAGTGGAGTTGGTGAGAAGTTGATACAGTCTTGTAGTAGTTGTAGTAAACCCTTGAATGTCTTTTAAAATCTTTTGTGTTTATTCCTGTTTGTAACTTTGTGTTCTGTTTAATTGTATCTTCTTTTATCTTACCTTTTTACTTTGAGCAGAGGTTTGTTTGATCACTGGTTCTTTGCCTGGGACTGTGGAAAGCTTAGTGGCCATTGGAAAACTGGGAGACTTCCCTCTTTTTTGGTTATTATATAGTTCAGGGAAGAATATATGTTGTCAGTTAATTCCTTGGGGCCCAGGGATGCAAAGGTCCTGTAGTTTCTTGGATAGTAACACTCCTCCACCTTATTTAAGTGGGAGGGGGCGCTTACCCTGACTGTGATGTGAATACCTCCTTCTGTATTTCAGGTGCAGCAATTACAAGGAGTTTACAGTTTACAAGAACAGCACTTTTGGACTTTATGTTCTGACGTTTATGTTGGGACCTTGAAATTAGTAGTGGCACCGGATGCTGATGCCAGGTGGATTTTAAGCCAAACACATAATATCTTTACTCAGGTATGACTTTTTTTACTGACTTCTTTTTAGGATCTTAAAATTTATTGTATCTACTAGTTTAAAAAATACTATGGCTCAGTGCCTATAGTTCAGTGGTTAGGGCACCGGCCACATACACCGAGGCTGGTGGGTTTGAACCCAGCCAGGCCTGCTAAAAACAACAATGACAACTACAACCAAAAATATCGGGTGTTGTGGCGGGCTCCTGTAGTCCCAACTACTCCGGAGGCTGAGGCAAGGGAATCGCTTAAGCCCAAGAGAATCGCTTATGCCCGAGAGTTGGAGGTTGCTATGAGCTGTGATGCCACATAGCACTCTACCTAGGTCAACATAGTGAGACTCTGTCTCAAAATAAGTAAATAAATAAAATAAACAATACTATTATGTTAAATATATACGTGGGTCATTATGAAAGTTTTGAGATACACAAAAATCAAGAAACGTAAAATCCACGCAGATGGAAACAAATGAAGCTCTCCCAGCAACAGTATAAACCGAGCAAGTTGGAACTTGCACAGGTGAATCAGAAAGAACGCTGTCAACTGTGTTTCTCGGAAGTGAAGTAATGGACATAGCACAGCCTGTTCCACAACTTCCGTAGTGACCCACGTATGCTACTATGAACTAAGGTAACCAGAAAAGTACTTTATTTTTTTAACCACAAATTTAAATTTGGGAGAGCCTTACTTTAGTTAATACTCTTAAGGAAGACAGCTTCTATCGACTCATCGTTGTACTGACTTGAGTTCTTTGAAGAAAAAGTACATTTTTCTTTACTTCTTATAAAACATGTTAGGTGATATTTGGAGCCAAGAATTCTAAAATGGCATTTGGAGTAATAACAGTATCTTGTCATTGACGTTAGCTAAAAGCAGACTGTTAAAGCTTTTTTATATGATTTAATAGCTTAATATGCTGTTGATTTTTTTTTAATAGTGTATTTGGAATTGTGAATTAGTGCACGCAACCAAATTCTCTCAGTTGATGCTTGTGTCATCATGAGTTAACGTAGTCACGTGACTGATAAAGAGTGATTTCTATTGGGATGTGTTGTGTATATGTTGGGAAAATAAGATCGTGTCAATAACATCTAAGGAGAAAGAGAACACAAATTCTTTTTTCAGCCTAGTTTGCTGGAAACATTTGGCAAAAAAGCCTAGACATCAACACTGCTGCCAAAGTTATCTATGCCTAAATCTAACAAAGAAACTGGTTCCATGCCTTAAAAATCTGTGGTTGAAAACAGGTTATGTGCCTCCTGGTGTGATGCCACCAGTGATACCACAATGTGACCTGTGTGGTACTCCTGATACAGAGGTTTAAAGAATCTAATTGTGAGCAGACAAATCCAGCTTGTGAGCCTGGATTCTTAAAAGGTGTTAATGTTCATGAAAGAACAAAAAGGTGGGGAGCAATTCTAGGTTAAAGGAGACTTCACAGTTAAATGCAGTGTTATCCTTGGTTGGATCTTGGACTGGGGGGAGAAATAACCACAAAGGAAAGTATTGGGTAATCAAGCAAATTTGAAGATAGATTGTATAATGATACAAAGAAAATCATATGATTGTATAGGTGTTTTATTTCTTAGGGGTGATAATTATATTATGGTTATGGAAGAACATTCTTATTCTTAGGAGGTTCATGCTGAAAGACTTAATGGTAAAGTATTGAGTATTTAGGTATTTTTGTACTATTCTTTTAACTTTAAAATTTTTCCAAAAAAAGTTGGAAAATAAAAATCTTTGTGTCTCCTCAATGCCACCAGGATAAAGTCTAAACTTTCTAGCACATTCTAAATTGACTTTACAAGTCTCTTTCCTACTTTTAATTGCTTGTGCTTTTAGGTGTCAGATGTACCAGACTGTTTACTTTTCTGTATGGGATAAAAATCCCAACTGTAATCAATTCAGTTGTTACTTTCTCTCTGAAGCTTTAGAGGGCCCTCAAAGCAGAATTACTTTATCTTGTGGTATGCATTTTCACCTTGTATGAACTGCATTTGTTTCCATGTTTTACCATATATCATGATTTTGCATTCCCAATGCCTAGAATAGTGTATGTCTATAGTAAATTTCTTGGATAACAAATTCTTAAAACTGTATTTGACCAAAACCATCTTTACCTATGCTGAGTATAGAAAAATATTGTTGGGTTCCAATTGATCTTTTTAACCACAAGTACAAAAATGATCTTAATGAGATACAGAATCTTGCTTCTCTAATAAAGAGAAATGTGCAGTTAGTCCTTTTGGAATAAATTAATGAAATAATCTTATGTGTAATTAGCATTTAGTCTAATCCTAAACTTATGTGTAATCAAGACTTGACTACAAAACAATATACTGGTAACACTTACTTATTCCAGAAATTTAACAACGTAGATCTTTTTCTTAACAGATGCTATAAGTCAGTATCATAATGAATTTCATAATGAAGCATGCCACCAGACCTTCACGGCATGTCTGAATCCTCCTTATGCCTCCTACATGCTTTAGGGACAAAAATGGAGGCCAGCAGCAATCTTTTTCCCCCCTATTTCTAGGACTTTTTTCTCTGTTTTATCCTGTCTTTTCTCTCAGTTATGCCATGCTCATTGCATGAGCTGCTGTTGACTTCTAGGATACCCCTGTATTCTCCTAAGACTTTGGCACAATTTTCTTTCTGAAAAAAATGCAATTTCTAGGTTAGAGTTGTACAAGCAGCTGTGTCTGTGCTCCGGAACTGCTGAAGTTGTCATTCAAGTAGGTGGAGGGAGGTTCTTCTGGTAACCTTAGAAATGTTGGCTTTTAAATAGCTGAAGTTGAAAGTTTATTCAGCTGCTGCTTTGGTTTTGGAAACTGCATTTGAGCTTTGCATATTTTAAACCCTGAAAAATATTTTAAGCCTTTTTATCAACCTAAAGTCAAGTCATTTTTCTTTTATTCATTGCATAGACCAAGGATTCTGTGAGGCTTATGGTGAAGGTGGCTGAACACATTTTTTCCTGGGGTGGGAGGAATGTCTTTCATTCCTACATTTAATAGTTTTAAAGTTGTTTTATATCACTGTTTTAGTTCTGACATATGCAAAATTGAAATTTTGTTTATTAATTTATTTCTTTTCTTCTTACACCCTAGTAATATATGTCCTTATCCAAGAGTATAGTCCAGGCCTTGTGGAACATTTTCATTTCATTTCATGTAATGAAATGTAAAATTTAATTAATTTTTGATTTTAAAATCATATCTCATTTATAACTTCTACTTATCACAAATTAAAAAAAACCTTAAATTGCTCCCTTTTTTTTCTTTTTTTTTTTTTTTTTTGAGACAGAGTCTCACTTTGTTGCCCTTGGTAGAGTGCTATGGAGTCACAGCTCACAGCAACCTCAAACTCTTGGGCTTAAGTGATTCTATTGCCTCAGTCTCCCAAGTAGCTGGGACTGCAGGTGTCCACCAAACACCTGGGTATTTTTTTAGAGATGGGGTTTACTCTTGTTTAGGCTGATCTTGAGCTCCTGAGCTCAGACAATTCATTTGCTTGGCCTCCCAGAGTGCTAGGATTACAGGCGTGAGCCACAGTACCTGGCCTTAAATTGCTCTGTTTTTAAGAAAAAAAAAATCACACTAATGTTTTAGGAATATTTCTTGTAGAAAGATTTAAAATATTGGTAGCCTTAGTTCCAAAATGCAAAAGAAGGATTTTTTTCAACAATAAGTTAATTATCTTTAAGTTTATTACATTTTTAGGCATCTTTCTTATAGCTGATCTTAAATTAGAATTTAAGTAATAGTTTTTGGTTAAAATTGTTCTTGTTAAAACTTATATGAAGATGACTTTAAACTGAAAAGACCAACATCAAAAGGTTGAGGATTATAACTTTCTATTTTATTTAGAAAACTATAGCTTTGTGACTAAATATTTTAGATCTGTGTATTAGGTATTATCCTTTTTAATCTCATTTTCCAGAGTTACCAATTCATCTTTAACTGCTAAAGATTAAGATGACTTCTTGTTATGTATAAATATAGACTAATTCAAGGGAATTACTGCAAGTCACTTAGTATTTGGATTCTTCTGGGATTAAGTGATAATGCAGTTCTGAAACTATGAGGTTTGTTTGCTGTTGGCATAGAACAGAGTCCTCTCTTCTAGCATTAAATTTTTAAAAACTGAATTATCATTTGCAAGTAGTTAAAATGGAAAATTTTTTGAGTTTATTTAGTGTATGAATAGGAAGCAAAAATGGGATAGTGGATTAGGAAGGCGATAATAATTTATATTTTTTGTTTTAAACTGGCCAATATCACACAGTGGTTATGGCACTGGCCACATACACCGAGGCTGATGGGTTCAAACCGGGCCTAGGCCAGCTAAACAACAATGACAACTGCAATAAAAAAACAGCTGGGCATTGTGGCAGGTGCCTGTAGTCCCCAATACTTGGGAGGTTGAGGCAAGAGAATCACTCAAGCCTAAGAGTCTGAGGTTGCTGTGAGCAGTGTCATTACAGCACTCTACCAGGGTGAAAGCTTGAGACTTTGTCTCAAAAAAAAAAAGGTAAACTGGCCAATATATCATCTGTTAATTATTTTTAATAACACACTTCACAATTGTAACTATAATCCTAAAATTGTAACATTTTTGTTTTGTTAGAAATAATCTGAAGAAAACACATTTTAAAAAATCTAGTTGTGCTTGAAGTTCAGCACCCTCTACAAAGTACAAAAGACACACAGTGGCTCATGCCTGTAACCCTAGCACTCTGGGAGGCCACCTGTGCTCATAGGTTCCAGACCAGCCTGAGCCAGAGCAAGACTCTGTCTCTAAAAATAGCTGGGCATTGTGGTGGGTGCTTGTAATCCCAGCTACTAGAGAGGTTGAGGCAGTAGAGTTGCTGGAGCCCTAGAGTTTGAGGTTGCTGTGACATCATGGCACTCTACCAAGGGTAACAAAGGGAGACTCCGTCTCACAAAAAAAAGACAATCAAGCCTGCTACGTAATATTGTATTTACTCCCTGATACAAAACTTCTGCCTGCCTTTATCTCTTCCACCTTTTCTGCTCTTCTGCCTTTGTCTTTTATGCCTATGAAGTCCTAAGCCCTGCTTCCTGCTTCAGCTTTTTGTGCTCTGTTCTGTAGCCTGAAAATAGAAGGGAACACTAATACCCAGGAAGGAACCACAAAGCCTCCACACAAGCCCACATGGGAGCTCCCAAGTTTCAGGAACCCTCCACCTCCGTCCTTCTCCTGGGTTCACAATCCCTTCTTGTCTCTCATCCCGCTTTGTTATGTCTGCTTAAGGGTGAGGGGAGGAGTGGGAGAAGGTATCCACTCTTCCAGGTGGTTACTATTTTTTCTACCATTTGTATTTATTTTCCCTTTTTGTAGAGAGCTTTAATCTTCCTTAAGTGTTAATTCTGCTTGCTCACTGTGCACTGTACATGAAGTCCACCAGATTCCACCCTCCTAGGGGTTGGTGTGACAGCCACAACATGGGAGGCCAGGAGACCTCTAGGTTTGTTTGTAGTTGATCCACACGGTTTAAATGCTCCTTGGTTGGTTGGTAGTGGTGGAAATAACAACAGTAGCAGCAGCTAGCATTTATTGAGCCCACCGTGTGCCAAGCACAGTGATAGGTGCCTGAACTTTTTAATCAGTCCTCGCAATATAATTTATAGAGTAGGAAACCCAGACCCAAGTTATTGTTATTCACTTTAGTCACATTTATTCACAATTTTGCTAGCTCTGAAGTGATTTTTCACATGGAAGAGTAAGACTTCATTTTAAAGGATGAAGATTAGTATTACAGGCTGGGTGTGGTGGCTCATGCCTATAATCCTGGAATTCTGGGAGGCCCAACCAGGTAGGCTTGAGCTCAGGAGTTGAAACCTGCCTGAGCAAGACCAAGACCCTGTCTCTAAAAATAGCTGGGTGTTGTGGTAGGCGCCTATAGTTCCAGCTACTTAGGAAGCTGAGGCAAGAGAATCACTTAAGCCCAAGAGTTTGAGGTTGCTGTGAGCTATAATGCAAAAACTCTATCAAGAGCTATTATGGCACTCTTATCAAGGGTGACAAAATGAGACTGTCTCCAAAAACAAAAAAAACATTAGTAGAATGTGTCCAGTCAAAAACTAGAATATTTCTGTGGGTTTTGATTGGTAGAAAATATAACTAAACCAATAATTTTCTGTAGTCATATTCCTATTTGTTTTTCTAATTTTTTTTACTTAATTGGTTCAACAATAATGAATATTTTTTGAAGACAATCTAAGCCTGTGGAACCAGGTTAACATTTAGTTTCCTAGGAGCTTATAAATGTTTTAAAAACCAGTTCTTTTTCCCAGTTGAAGAAAATGTTGACTAAAGTATAATTTGTACATTATTCTCAGGATACACAATTAGTGTTCTGTGGTTTTCACTTCTTAAGGCTCTCCTAGCCAGCCTTAGCCTCCTGGTATCATCTAGTGGTAAGAGCATTTGATGGCCCTGAGCACTGTTATCTGCGGTCCTATCTGTCACGTCTTTGTGATGAGAATAAACTGGAGAAAACCTGGTTTGCAGTCAGGGAGCAGGTGACTTACTATGAGGTTCTTTGGAAATACTGCTTTTCTCTCTACTTTGAAGGAAATTGAAAAAAGGAAAATGGGAAGCTGGAAGACTTGAAGCTGTCCCGATCCGGACAGATGGATGAAGCAAAATGACTTTTTTTTGCTGTTAGACTGAGCTTTTGTGGCAAGCTGCAGCCCCTCAGGGGAAGATATCGGCTTGAGTAATTAACTGGTGATTATGCAAATACAATTTACCTAGCCTCTTTGTTTTTCCCCTTTTCTTTCTGTTTTTCTTTTTTTGCCTTGGGCTACGGTATTTTTTATTACCATCCTCACTGTGTTAGGGCTGCAGTCAGGAAAATGGCAGAGACAGAAGGAGCCCAAATCGTTTTGCCCATTTACTTTCATTAACAATTTAATTGAAAGAGAAGAGAAATTAAGACAATTTGGGCAATAGTTATTTTCTCTTAAGGTTACTTATGCAATAATTTTGCAAAAGAGTCCCTCAAGTACTAGTACTTTCCAGGGTCATCTGGATTGCATGTATCAAATCATATAACCATAATGAATCATAATTGTTTACAGCAGTATTCTATAATAACTGCCTTATATTTGTCAAATATTGGATGACCTGATGAGAATTAGTAGGGACGGTATTTATCAGCAGTTTTAAAATGAGAAAAACTGAGATTTGGTTTTAATTTTTAGCTCAAGAACATATAGACACTAAGTTCTGCCTTTTTTCTGCCACAAGTATCTTAACTACAGAGAGGATGCTATTAAATTATATTTTACATAAATCTGAATAACAGCTTTAACTTAAACACAGGAAGGCTTTTTTTTAAACATGCTGGAGTCTCCCTATAAAGTACCTGGGTGGCCTTCCCGCTGACCTCCATCCTCCCTCCCCCAGTAGCTGGGGTTACAGGTGCAAGCCACTGCACCCAGTTGCCTTTTTTTTTTTTTTTTAAATGAGGCAAAATTAAAATATATTTTCTGTGCTGACAGTCTTCTGAGGTCTTTCCAGCTTTTTATCCGTTAGAGTTGTTCCTGACTCTTTTCAAATATAGTATTAGTGTTGAGGAAAGCCCGGCTATCGTATGCTAGGAAAAACCCACTCTGAAAAGCAGTGTTTTGAGAAATTACTGTAAGAAGGTAGTATTAATAGATTTTTATATCTCATTCTGGTTTTTTCCTTTCTATTAAATATTCTAATCTATCATTCATTCTGTGACAAGAAAGGACTTATTGTGACTGATGGTTTGCTTTAATAAAACAAATCATTTGGGGTTAAAAGAAATTAGAATTTTAGTTCATTCAACAAATATTTATTGAATCACTTACTGTACATCCTGAGCATTACTTGAAGTTCCAAGACACACCCTTTAGTTTGAAGAGATTATGCGCATATTATAGTGGGGGGAGTCAACAAAAAAAATAACCAGAGTGAATAAGTTTTATAATGATGAGTCTTACTGGTAGGGACATTGGAGGGACGTATCAGCTCTTGCGCCAAGCTTCATTAAGTAGCAAGATGCGACTTGGGAGTTGAGCACTGGTGTGAGCAACTTGGAACCTACATTAACAGTTTTGGGGAAGCGTGGCAGGCAAAAGTTTGGTTGAAATGAGTTTGACAGAGAAGAGAGAAAAGGAATTATAGACAGCAAATATGGACAACTCTCTTGAGGATTTTTTTTTTTTTTTGAGATATAGTCTCATTATGTTGCCCTCAGTAGAGTGCTGTAGTGTCACAGTTCATAGCAACCTCAAAGTCTCGGGCGTAAGCCATTCTCTTGCCTCAGCCTTGCAAGAAACTGGGACTACAGGCACTTGCCACACCTGGCAATTTTTTGCTGTTGTTGTGCTTGTCGTTGTTGTTTAGCAGGCCCAGGCTGGGTTCGAATCTGCCAGCCCTGGTGTATGTGGCCAGTGCCCTAACCACTGAGCATGGGCACCAAACCTCTTTTGAGGCTTTTTGCTATAAAGAAGAGTGAGACTGGGACTGTAGCCCCGAAAGGGATGCAGTTTTTTAATGGAAAAAATTACAATGTTAGTGTGGGGGGGGGGGGTTGGGGTAGAGGATCCGGATTGATAATACAGAAGAGATTAGGAACAATTTAGGTGGCAGTATGCTTGAGTAGCGAGTTCATATCCAAAATTAAAGAGAGGACTTGGAGTGCAACATAAATAACCAAGAGATGGGTATACTTAGTAACCTGTTCACTAATCAGCTATTGTGGGAAGATGTAGACTGAGTTGATTTATTGGCTTTAATTAGTAGCCAGTCAGTCAAGCACTGTAGTGTCCTCTAACAGAGTAATAGCAGATGGGTAACCTCATTTTTCTAAATACCACTCAGGGTCCATATCATGGCCTTTTTGCAGGGGGTGGGGAGGGCAGGAATAAATGATGGTTCTTTTTTGTAACTTATGTATATATTTGTTTTTGAAATATTTTTCTGATGTTTTATAGAAAAAAAAAAAACCCAAGAATTATTTCCCAAAAGCAAAAGAGAAAAATGATTCCTTTTTCAAAACATCAAGTTTTTGTTCTACCAACCACTTTTCGAAAATGCGTAGTCTGTTATTGGCTCGTTTGATTTTCTAATTTTTTTTTCCAGGCCGGAGTGAGACAGCTTTATGTACAGATTGACTTTGCAGCCATGTAGTGAAGGAAAAGAAATTATGCTTTCTTTTGGACCAAATTTTTCTGGTACTGTACAATACAAAACATTGTACCCAGCTTTTTAAAATAAAGAAATTATCACTACAACTCCCCAGCACCAAGTCGACCAGTAGAGTCAGCTGTTTGTGCTCTGCTGGGAGTTTACAGCTAAGGGATCAGAATTAAGAATATTTCCTGGACTTCTGCACTCTTCCCTCCAAATCATTTTGATTACTGAAGTTTCTGGTTTTGCTCCAGGGTGTTGGTTTGTCCTTTTTCTTTTGTGTTTTTGTTTTCATGCTGAATGTCCCCACCTCCATCCCTTCATCTCAGCCAGTAAGAAATTCAGATTGTGGGCCTCAAATCATCTGGAATGTCTTCACTGAAGCTTCTGGAAACCAGTGCTTTCATTCCCACAAAACCAGTGTTATTTAAAAAAAAAAAAAAAAAAGAAATGGAAATCTATTTTGTATGTAATGTCACAGTTGTTGATGTCCTTCAGAATAATCATATGTTTGTAAAATTGTTTGTACCTTGCAAACTTACAAACCAAACCATATTGGGTTTCAAAGTGCCTTTGTATCGGAAAATGTATTTGCCAGCATAGAAATGTACCATCAAAGGTTATGTATTTTTTTCTAAATGGATATTCTGTAATCTGTACAAAATAAGACTGTTGGTAGTAACCTACTTTGTCTTTTTGTGTACTTACAGTATAGATTTAGATATATGAAAATTGTCCTTCTGTTGTTTTATCTCATCAAAAAAATAAAAGGTATTAATTTTCTTTTTAAAGCAAATTCAATTATCCCATTAAATTCCTTTGTGGACTGTGTTTTCAGAACTTTGCATATGCATCTGTTGTTCAGAAAACTGTTGTAACTTAAAACATCTGCTAAATTCTAAATTTCTGTAAAAGCTACTGTGTCTATGATAAACTTTCCCGTATAGCTTTCCTTACCATTTTTGTGGACTTTATGAACAGACAGTGTAGACTGAAGGGAGAAATGGTTGTGACAGTGTAAATTTTGCTTTTTATTCTTCAAATGCCAAGTCACAGAATTTATTTTCCCATGTAAGCTTAACACAAATACAGTTGCTTTCAGGAATCCTAAAGCAGCATTTGATTGAGTTTGAACCATTAAAGCATCCAGAGCAAATGTGCTTATGTAGAACTCTTCCTAAGACAGGCATCTGAGGTGAGTTGATTTTCTAGGTCCTGTGTCTTTGAAAAATAAAGTTTCCATTTGTGATGACAAGTGCTTGCCCACTCTACTTGAGTATTCTGTTTTATAAAGAGATAATGGTCTGGAGAAACCTTTTCCCATTATATTTCATTTTATCACAACCTGTATTTCCTTTTCATTTAAAAAACCTGAAATTGTCGGGGGAAAAACACTGTAGGATAGTAATGATTATTAAGAATGTAGATCAATAAGCACTTTTTCACTGAGGTGACAGAAGTCATTGATTTTGTCCAAGTTTTGGAGTATTTTCCCCTATAATTTATGTATTAGTCTGTATTATGAGAAGTAGACCACTTTCTTCATTTCTTTGTAAACTACTGCAGATAGCCAGGAACTATCAATAGTCTCCTTTTTGCAGATAAAGTAGTATTTTCAAAACGTTTGCTTACTGCCAGGCAGTTCTGTGGCTAATACAGTGTGTTTACTAAAACAATTGCTGAGGTCTCTCAGGAGGGAAAGTACAAAAGGAAATGTCCTAACCATGGTATTGCTTTTTCATTACAAATGTAAGTAGTCATTTAGAATTTTGCCACCACTACCAAGCCCATTAGAACTTTGGGATATTCTGTGGGTTGTGGCACATTAAAATGATAGATCTAGATGAAGGCAGAGATTTTGGATGTGTGCCTTTAAAAACTAATTACGTATAACTGTATTGATAGTTCTCTACCCTAACAATAATTGCACTGGTCTGTAAATTTACCAGTGCAATCTGAAGATCCAATTCTGCCTTCACTGGGCCCACCATTCTAAGTGAAGTTTTTGTCAAAATATGTATTTATTTAACAGTGTTCTCTGTACACAAATGCATGAGTTTTTTTTTCCTTCCTTTGATAAGGCATAGAGTATATGTAGAGTCTTAAATTGCCATGAAACTCTTAATTTTGCATTTATTTCAAGATACTGTCAGCTCATAGCATTTAACAGGTTGGCATTAACATTCTTGTTTTAACCAAGTGTCAGATTTGTGTGTGCAAAAGTAAAAAAATTGTGTAAGAAAATGCAGTTCCCCCCCTCATTTTAAGGAAATCTTTTGTCTTAATATTCTTGGCACATATGTATTACTAAAGTAGATAATTTCACTGAAAAAAATTACCTGATTATTGTTATAAAATAGAATACATAAAATATACATTTAGAATGTCCTTGGTATTAGACTAACTCTTGCAGGCTAAAAAACACTAGAACAATCTGTATCTGAGCATAATTTTGCCAGTATTTAAAAACTCCCAATATTCTCTGGAGAACAAATTTGTATTGGCCAGGTAAAGTATAGAAATACACCTATATTTATTTTGGTTTTTTAATCTAGATGACTCACATGAAGGGCTTTAACATGCACAACTTCCTCATTTGCTAACTCCCTGTGTGTCTTTGTGAAGGACAGTACAGTTTACCTGTAGGTCAGTGCTCCATCCCTACCAGTCCGTGACAGATGTCACTGGTATTGTGATTCCCGTTGTATCCAGAATATTTCAGCATTCTTGAAAGCCTACACATGTACACCAGGAACCAAAATACTGTGATTTTTGTGCACCTTTATCAAGCCACCAATCATTAACTCCAAGTGCAGCAGATCACAGTTCTATGTTTTTACCTACTAGGAGATAATCAATTTTTACAAAGATCATTAACATGGTAGCACCTCATCATATAACACTGGGGGAACAATATTACATGACTAAGCGTAGGATTTTACACTTACAGGGACTGACAGTCCAGGCTACCTCTCATTTTACAGATGAGAAAACCCAGAAAAGCTGTATTGACTTGAGGTCACAGACACAATTAGTGGTAAAGCCAAGACTAGAATTCAGATCTTCTGACCGTAAGTCGAGAGTTCTTTATACTCTTACTGTGCTGCCTCTCCAGTGTAGTATTTGCCTTCTGTAAATGTGATTAAATATCATTTGTAAATAAAGGACATTTGACCTCCACTTTGGTACATTAAGGCACTTTATAAATGGGGCTTTATTGTCTCATTTTTCATTGATAATTATGAGGTTTGGAATATTTCCATAGTATTCCTTATGGAATATATTATAGATTTTTTACTTTTTACTGTTTTAATGAAGCCAATTCTTGACTTTAAAAAAGATGACAACTTTTACTTTAAAGTACAAATTACTTTAACTGAGGAGTGAATTTTTCTTGATTTTTAATTGCCCAAGGCTAAATCCAATGTAAGGATTGCTGAGTTTATTTTATATTCTGTGAATTGGTTCATTTTAGAAACCAGGCTAATTCACAGGTCACATCATTTCAGTCTCACCACTTTGGTTTCTAGGTACTGGGGAGTTTTTGCATTAAAGACTCTCAAAACCATGGAAAATTGAGCATTAAATGCCATATAGAACGAAACAAATCTTTTAATTCAGTAAGGTTAAAATTCTGAAATCATATCAGAGCCCAAGATGTTAAACTACAACTTCTAATGCTTCATAAAAGCATTATCGTGAGAAAGTTAAAGTTTTTCATTTCATCACTATCTTCAGAACAAAATTCTCTTCCAATTCACAAGAACTTTATAAAAGATGAAATTATCTTACTCTCTGGAGAACATTCATTAGAAGTTTTATCAGTGGAAGGACTATTGCAACATGTGATTTCTCAGAAGCCTTAGTTATCCAGATCTCAACCAGACTCAAATACGGTGAGAAATTACATATTAAAAAATATTAATAATTGGAGAAGAGAAACAGAGAAATACTGTTCTATTTAAAGTCCAAATGTGAGTCTTTCTGATGAGGGCATCTCTGGTTTATGTTTAACCATTTCCAGCTGCAAATTATACAGAAGGGAAGGGGGTGGGAATCAGGGAGATTCACCTTATTAAGGATTTATGTGCCAGGCAGTTAAAACCTTAGTAAGGATTTATGGCCTTCTTTGTGTTATGACATAACCCCCAGATTTCTGTAAATAAACTTTGGATGATCTTATGATTCACAGAGCTTTTTTCAAATATATTTTCTTAACATCCCTGTGAGGAAGGAATTCTTATCCCCACTTTCCAGGTGAGGAAGCTGTTTAAATGATTTGCCTCCAGGATAACCAGTGGTAGAGCACTGACTCATCAGTGCTGACAGCTACTGTGCCATGGGTGCCACTCAGCAATGCTTCAGAGGTCCAAGATGCTGCAGTAGATCTAAACAGAGTCTCCTACAGAATTAGCGAACAGTCACCAGGACAAGATTGAGGTGGGGGGGACGGCCACTAGACTCCTTCCTTCTTTCAGTGCTGTCTTATGTGTATTTACTGCCTTTGCTATTCATCTTAAGCTGTGTAGGTTCAAAAGAGAAATTAGAAGTTCCGAAGCAATTTTAAGACCATTAAGAAAAAAAAAATGTAGGAAAGTTTTACTGGCACTTGCCAAATACTACTTAAGGGATTGACTTAAAATATTGCACCTTCTGTGCCAGTGAGGAGAGAAACTGAACTTCTGCCCAAGAGACCTTAACTTAGTTTATTAGGGGATTATCTCCCAAGGAGTATAAATAACTTTGCACTGCAGGAGAAGGAATTAGGATTTGATTTACATTTTATATACATCTTTTCAAAAGGAAGAAGTCTATTTCATAAATAGTAGCAATCCATGTTTAAACTTAAGAATATTTAACTTTTAACTCTTACAGCAGCTTCGAAAATTTGTTATTTGGAATTTTGATCACGAGGCTGGAATGCTTGTAAAGAATGTCCTTTTATTTTCAAACTTAACATGGGCTTATACTAACCTGCTCAATATGTTTGGTTAACTAGTGAGTATTACAGATACTAGTGGACACAAAAAGCAAGGGTTAGAAACAGGTCAAACCAGTATTCCATTGTTTATTACAGAAGACATCTTAGCATTTCTTTGGTATCTTTCCAGAAATAAGTGACTTTAAATTGACATTGGCCATTTTATTTCCAAGCAGCCTTTTTAATACACAGAAGTAAACAGATGTTATTCATTTTGCATATTGCTGAACAGGAATTTGGCAGAACTGGGACTGTGGAACCTGTCATTTGAATTTTTCTATTTTGTATGGCCAAACCAGGAACCACAAAGTCTCCTTTGCTATTATGGAAAATTGCCACATTGGTGTTTTGAGGACCATGGGCATGACTTCTCTTTCCCTCATCCCAGATGTGCCATCATCTGAAACTCCGGAAGGTGCTTCTATCAAAACAACACTGCATATATTCATTAAGTGATTGAAATTTCCCCAGAATACTTTTACGTTTTTCCCCCCTCCAAATATTAAATTATAGTAGAGCCTCTCTTTATTTCTTCACTTATTTTTCCTCTCTTTTAATTGTTGCTTCCACTGTAGAACTTCTACTTCTCACCAGTGGGAGAAAAGCTTTACTTCGAGTATTTTAATTTTATTTATATCTCACATGCTGTGCACCAGTTAGCCTCAGTGAAGATTCTGTTTTGAGTTAGCCATACCCTGTCAACTGTTTGTCAAGTAATTTCATTGCTTCCTCTAATAGAAAATTCAGTGAAAATTTTTCCCAAGTAATATTTTCCTCCAGCTTTTGTGAGTTTAGTAAACAGAATGTATCTTTTATATTGGAAATAATGTGAATGGAAAATCGCCAAATCCCTTTTCAGTATATTCTAAACACCTCTACAACCCTTTACCTCCCTGCCTTTAGTAGTTTGTAAACATATGGCCATGTTTGTGCTTGGGTTTCATTTCTTTGGTGAAGATTACGGCATTGAAACAGTCTAAAATGCTTCAGAGTACAAGATTAGGCTACAAAGTCAAATCTTAAAGACTGTGTTGTAATTTGGTTTGAATATGTGACAGCAAGTAGTTAGGATTTGCCTAAGTGCAATACAACAAATCCATAATGTATATTTTACTTTTTCTACTTGAACACATTCATGTATATATTTTGTTTAACCTTAGATGTATTTAAAAAGAATCATGAACTGTATCAAAATTCTTTCAATAAAATTTGTTTAAAAATCTTTACTTGGATTGTGTCTGCCAGTTTAATGAACTGAGAACACTCTGAACCTGTTACTGGACTAGATTCTCAGAACCAGGAGATAGCAGAACTCATCGGTACAGAAGAGGTGTCGGGAGGTGAGAAATGCCCTTACCTGGTGAAGAGCCTCAGTGCGGCTCCCACTCATCATTTCACCTCAGAAACAGGTCTCAAAGTATTTATTTCCAGCTATGCTCATTAACCCCAAACTCTTCTCTTACCTCATTCTTTAGGGTCATCTCATGAAATGAAGACCAAAGCATTTGACATGAGCCTCTGTTATCCTTCCAAATGTTTCTCTCTAGTCAGAAGCAACTCTTTTTTTTTTTCTTTGGTTTTGTTTTGAGACAGTTTTGCTTTGTCACCCTTGGTAGAGTGCAGTGGCATCACAGTTCACAGCAATCTCAAACTCTTGGGTTCAAGTGATTCTCTTGCCTCAGCCTCCCAAGTAACTGGGACAATAGGCGCCCGCCACAGTGCCTGGCTATTTTTTTTTTTTTTTTAAGAGTTGGCATGATCTCAAACTCATGAGCTCAGGCAATCCACCCACCTCAGCCTCCCAAGTGCTGGATTACAGGCCTGAGCCACCCTACCTGGCTTGAGACACTCTTAAACTTTGTTGCCCGAGGTAGAGTATGGTGGTGATGGCTCACAGCAACCTCAAACTCCAGGGCTCAAGTGACCCTCCTGCCTCAGCCTCTCAAGCAGCTGGGACTACAGGCGCCTGCCAAAGCACACAGCTAGTTTTTCTATTTTTTAGTAGAGTTGGGGGTCTCACTCTTGCTCAGGCTGGTCTCTAACTCCCGACCTCAAGCAATCCATTGGCCTTGGCCTCTCAGACTGTTAGGATTATAGGCGTGAACCACTGCACCTAGCTAGCAATTCCTTTTTAAAGTAACCTCTTCTCTCAGGCCCCATTCATCACACCTTCTCAGTTATTCTTACCAAAGCAGCCTCTATACTCCCGTCTGTGCCACCCTGTAAGGGCTGTCCCCTCAGTGTGTCCGCTGTCAGGTTCCGAGTCTGTGGTCTGCATGAGCTGCTTCCGCTTCCTAACTAGCCATGACTCCTCCCTATTCTGTACAAGTTCAGAGGCCTTGGGGGCTCACGTCTTGTCACATCCATGGCAGAATTGTCAGCATCACAAATTCTAAATAGAGAAGTAAATTTATCTTTCCCACTAAAATTTCTTTTCAACTACCAATTTCTGCCAGAATTCTTTACAGAATCCCTAGAAATCTAAACATCGCCTTTACCACCTCCATTTCCTCAATCCCCTATCACAAAGTCCTCTTCCTTCCTTTGAAATCTTTAAATTCCCCCTTTTTATTGACACTGCCTTATTCCAAACTTCATTGATGACTTCTAGCAGAATCACTTTCCTTGCCCAGCTCTAGCCACCTCTATTTCAGCCCTCCCTGCCCACACATAAACCCAAACAATTCTGGTTTTGGCAGGGAGTGCAAGGAATGTCTCTTGAATCCAACTTCTGTCAATGCCCTTTTAAAACATGTGCCCTACCACGCCTTCCTGACTACTTTGCACTGGCCCTTCTGCATCTGCACTTGGACTTGCTGGAGCTAGATTCCCTGCCTTCTGGTGCTCTCTGGAATTAGCCTCTGGCCTAATGCTATAGTGGGCTATTAACACCCCTTTACAGCAGCCTCCTCTGTTTCTACACAGCTTTAACAATAAATACTGCACTAACTAACCAGTCTTTCTTATCCAGAGCTTCTGCTTCCTTCCTCCTAGAAGCCACCTGTGTTATGCTGACCGTCTAAGTAATACGCTTCCCAGTTTCCCCTTTCAGTCCTCTGGCTCAGGAATCTTGAGTGGCTCCCTCATGGTTATAACATACAAATTCCCCTTAACAGCTTTGGAAATTCATAAAGCTTTTCTTTCCTCTCTTATTCAATCTCTTCACCCTCAATATGGCAATAAGCAAACTTTTCATTAGTCTGGATTCGTTAGTCTAGGTCAGAGAGAAGCAAAGACAGGGAGGAGTGGACAGGTGAAACTGAAGTTGACAGAATGAGAACAATGTACTATCATTCTGTTAATAAAAATAGAGTAAGAAAAAAGCACTTTAATGAGATTCTAGTTTCTTCAAACACTGTCAGCTAATCTAGCTCCACTTACAAGCTTAAAAAAAAAGATCACCACAAAATTCAGGCTTAGCACATGCTCCTGACATTTAAATGCACAATTCAGCTTTTATCTGCTGAATTCCTATAACCAAGAGACCTAATGTTAATAGCAGATAATGTCTTGCACAGTGTGGGCAATTAAAATTTATTTTAAAAAGGATAAATGGATGAATTATGTTAATATAAAATTTAACTTCTCTTTGAAAAATAGTTCTCTGTGAATTGTACTTTTGTGAACTGTACTTTTTGTGAGAGATCTACTGCTACAACTAAAGAATAGAAACAAAACAGTACAAAAACAAAAGCATCCCAAAAAGTATTTCCTACATGTAGGTACAAGATAGTGCTTTAAAAACAGGACATTTTATAAGTAAATTCAGATTCACATACAGTGTGACAGCAATTAGAACTCTACCATTTGGCGTGGACTTTTAAAAATGTCATAATCACTTCCAAAATTATAAATAAGGTCTATCTGATTAGCCATCACCATCTTCCCAGCCTAGACAATGCTCACTTTACAGGGTCACCTGTCCTCTATGAGCAATGAGCAATATTTGTACTTCTCCATGAGCAATAATTTGTACACGAGTCAGACTCATTCCTAGAAGACAAATAAGTTGGATACATTTATATATTAGTTGGATCAATATTCCCACTGGCTTCCAAAAGCTTTTTCCAGGGAATCCTGTGGTGGTGGGTGAAAACCCATAGGACCCCAACTTTGCGAGAAGGGGATTCTTTTGTTCAGTATAGCTGTAGTTTCAAAAGGATAGAGCAAAACCCCTTTGATTTTTTTCCGTCCCCTCCACCATCCCCATGGGTCAGGATGAAGACCCAAGCATGAAAGTGTGCAAGACAGCAACAGAGTAACCAGAACCCAAGTTTCTGGCCAGAGGACTGACCAAAAAAGGGAGCCCACGGAACCAGTTAAGTAGCAGGGAGATCATGGAGAGGGAGGAGCCCAGGAAAGCACCTTCTAAATTAGTTATTCATGAAGCCCAAGGATCATCCTCAAATCATTAATGCTTGGATCTGATCCTCCTTAGCCACGGGAACCTTGAGAACTAAACTATCCAACAGACGACTTCCTAAGTCCCAGATGGGTAGCACAAACTTGAGATAGATCCAAAAAGAATTGTAGTCTTTAAAAAACTGAACTGACGTTGGAACCACAGCCCCCAGAAGGCAGCCTGGTAACTGTCCTGAACCTAGCTGGCTGGTTACCTACTCAAACAAAAAAGATTGAGATTCTCCACAGAATTTAAACAAGACCCAGAACCTCATAATATTCAAGTGCTTAAGCTACAATCCAAAATTAAATTCAAAGTACCACAAAAAATTTCAACTTGCAGAAGAAAAATAATCAATAGATACCAAGGGTGATATAACTTCATGTTGGGATTACCTAACAAAGATCTCACAGCAACTATCTAAACTGCTCCAACAAGCAAATACAAATTCTATATAAAATACTCAGCTACAGAAAAAGGCTCTAACAAGCAGTGGCAAATAATGCTGCAAGAAATGTTTAAAAAAATAGAAGATAGAAAAAGAACCAAATATTAAAAGCATATAGAGTGGAGCCAATAGAACATAGAAGACTGAGGAAAGATCAATGAATTTAAGGATAGATGAGTAAAAAGTTATGTGAGAAACGTGGAAAACAGACAAAAAAATGAACAGTTCAGGAACCTGTGGAATAGTAAGAAATGTCTTAACACTTACATTATGTAGTATCAGAGTTTCAGAAAGATAATCAAGTACAGGCAGTCCCCGGGTTATGAATGAGAGAAGTTCTACAGATTTGTTCTTAAGTAGAATTTGTATGTAAGGTACATTTACTTATTACCTGTAATAGCCTCCATTCATGCATGCAAGTCATAATGTCAGGCAGATGTTTGTAACTCAGGGACTGCCTGTATGCAGGATGACTGAATGTCTGAAGAAACGATGGCTGCAAACTCCCCAGTTTGGTGATACAAAGCTACAGTTTCAAGAAGCTTGAAAAAACCCAGAATAGGCCAAAACTCCAACGCCATCTCAGACAATCCCAATCAAAATCTCACAAGCCCATAGAATGTCAACAAGCTCGTTCTAACATTGGCAAGTTAAGCAATTGTAAAGAAAGAAGAAAGTTAGAGGAATTACACTTCCTAATTTTAAGATTAACATACGGCTAAAGTAATGAAGACCGTGCGGCATCACAGACGGGAGAGACATAGATCAACACAGCAAGAGTCCAGAAATAGGCCTGCACAAATACGGCCAAATGATTTTTCTGACAGTGGTACAGAAACAGTTCAATGGAGAAAGGACAGTCTTTTTAACAAATGGTATTGGGAGCAACTAGACATCTATATATGCATTTTAAAAAAAAAACAAACCTCGATTTAAAACTCACACTTCACAACAAATATTAAGCCAAAATGTATCACAGATCTAAATGTAAAATATAAAATATCTAGGAAAAAAAACAGAAAATCTCCGTGTTCCTGATCTTGAATTTGGTGACGGATTCTTAGACATGGTATCAAAAGCATGATCCATAATTAACTGATCAATTGGACTTCATCAAAATTAAAAACTTTTACACTAAAAGGGAATGAAAAAAAAGCAACAGATGGAGAAAAACATGTACAAATCACATACCTGACCAAGAACTTGTATCTAGAACATACATGTATAAAAAACACTTGAAACTTAACCATGAAAAAGAATCCAATTAAAAAGTGGGCAAAAGACATAAAGAGATACTTCATCAAATAGGATATAAGCACAAGAAAAGATGTTCAACAGCTTCAGTCATTAGCCATAAAATGTATTTTCTTGTTTCTCTGGACAGACCATAGTATTTTATTAGGGTCATAATTTTGTTGATATGTTACATAATTTTGTTATACTCAGAAGAGTGCTAAGCTTTGTTCTAATTTAAATTTTTGGCTAAATCACCTTGATTTCATGGAGCCTCTGACTTTGTATTATGTTGAAAGTTTTGTCCTTTTAGCACAAAATCCCTAGTCCTCAGGATAGTCTTTACTAATATATGGCCATTCTGGGGTTTTAATAGGAAGCTCAAGGTTCTTATTACCTGTCAATCGTCAAAACTCAAACTCTCTTAAAATAGAGAGCAGCAATCTCTGTTCAGCTTCTTTAGTCTTCCAGCTGTGGCTTTCCACTAGGGTCCGTGGAGTCTTTCCTGAGTGTGTACAGTGCAGAAGTTAACCTTGCATTTAAAGAGAGATGATGCAGATTAGAAGGCTCCTCCACCTTTGGTACCTTCATTTCTAGGCTCTGCTCCTTCAATCTTCGGGTCCTCAGCAGCTCCCAGTTACATTCTCTAACAGCTCAAGCCTAGTAAGACTGCAACTTTCCCTTGAGTTCTAGCCACCCTTCACCAAGCAGTCTGGGAAACTTGAGGAGAAAAGCTATAAAAACATAGTGTTCAGCCTGCTTTTGGTGACTTCGTAGTGTCTTTAAATAGTTACTGTATTTGGTCCAGAGTTTATAACTGGGAGGGTTTGTACCCTGCAAAATCAGAAGTCCTTCATTTAATAGTTCTTAAATGTTGGGACTGCAAACTAATACCTTTTTAGGAGGAAGTATGGAGAACCCTTGAAGAACCCAAATTAGACCTCCCATTTGATCCTGCAATCCCATTACTGGGCATCTATCCAGAAGAAAGAAATCCTTTTATCATAAAGGCATTTGCACTAGACTGTTTATTGCAGCTCAATTTACAATCACCAAGATGTGGAAACAACCTAAATGCCCACCCACCCAGGAATGGATTAACAAACTGTGGTATATGTATACCATGGAATATCATTCAGCCACTAAAAAAGCTGGAGACTTTACATCTTTTGTATTAACGTGGACAGAGGTGGAACACATTCGCAGTAAAGTATAAGAATAGAGAAGCAAGAATCCATTGTACTCAATTCTAATATGAAGCCAGTAGACAATCTAATACATACCTACATAAGAGGAAAATGCAAATCAATTCAAGGTGGGGGGTGGGAGAATGAGGGAGCAGGGAGAGGAGAGGAGGGCAGGGGATGGGGGGTTATAATATATGGCATACCTCTTGGGAACAGGACACAATTACAAGAAGGACTTTACCTAACAAATGCAAAACAGTGTAACCTAATTCTCTGTACTCTCAACGAACCTGAAACAATAAAAAAAATTTTAAAAATAATAGTTCTTAAATTGTTTAACACCTCAGAAGAAAATAATATAGAACCAGTTCTCCATCTCTCCCCTTTTGTGTCTAACAGATTGAAAACACAATGTTTCACACACATTAAAATATATTTTATCCCAAATGAAAATCTGTCAAAATAATCTTAGCTAACTGATGATCCCAAGAAGCAGGAAAATCTTTGTTCAACGGTCAACAAATGTACTAAGCAAAGAGCTCAAAAGAAATGATTAGGCCATGGAAATAATCAGAATTGGACCAAGTAAACTGTCATATAGCAAAGCTATTTTTATTCTGAACTGACAAAAGGTATAAAACTACGGCCATGAAATATAATAAATGGAGTGTTATTTAATTAACCTTACTATAAAACTAGTAAGAAGAGTGTGACTACTTGTATATATACATTAGAACCTTTATAAGTTAACCACTCAAGGGACTGGAACAAACTAATCAACATAAGGAACGAGGCCTACTGTACTGATATGTACATGTGGTGTGTGTCCAGTCCACGAAAATTAGATCAACTTAAGGAGGTGGTCAACTATGGAGGTTCTACTCTGTGTGTGTGTGTTTGTGGCATATAAGCTGAATTAAGTGATAAGACAAATCATGACTCATCCATTATTACCTTCAAACTTAAATTTTAAAAAATTTTATTTTGGGGTCAGCAAGTTTTCCATTTATCTGCTTGGATATGAACGATACTATTTAAAGATGCTATTTAAAACCAAACAGCAACTGTACATGGCTGGCTAAACATTTATAATTAAACAATTACATAACTTCCAAAATGTAGCAGATGATGAGCCATATCGGGGATGTCAGCTAACCAAGACAGCCCATTCAGAAGGGGGTCATTTTGTGGCATGTCTCAGCTGAGCTTTAAGTAAGACTGTTGAGTGGAGATTTATTCTTCCCATATTTTTATATATACTAACACCAGCTGCTGTCAGGAAAATACATCTTTGCAGTCAAGGCAGCTGACTTTTTAAGAAATAAGAAAATTATAAATAAAAACATTATGTGAATTGTTACCAATCTTTCGTTTGCTTTTCCTGCCATTCTTCACATCTTTTGCCCTTTAAAACTGGATTCCAGTGATTCACTTTGCAGTTAATCTGTGAGTTATACTCAGTAACAACCGTCTTGTATAAATTGATTTCATAAGTAAAAAACTGCTTTTCAGTGATTTTTGTCAGGGATGTCGATTCCCAAGTTTTCCAGCTTGGTCTGCTCCTTGTGTGTGCATCCTGAGAAACTGCCAGAACAGCAGCGACAGTTAATGACCTCACGGGGAAAAACTCGATGCCACAGGAAACCAAGCACTGTTGAGTCAACTTCTTTCTTTTTGGTCACTTGTTTTAACATTATTGAAAATGTCTACTTCAGAGTCCACCAATGCTTTGGGACTCTGAGCTACTTTCTGGTATGGAAAACAGACTGAGCATCTCCATCTCCAGTGGATGCAGGCTGCCCCCTGTGATAATCAAGGAATGCAACGGCTCTCCCAAGTCCACAGTACACATTTGCTGTAAAGTGCCTGCTGCAATCTGCTGGTCTTCAGCTCCAACTCTGGCTAAGCCAACACAGAGCGTCTCCTCAGTAACTGCTATTCAAAAAAAAAAAAACAACAAAACATTGCCATTCAATTCAGCAAACAGATCATTCTATCCAGCACACACTCAGATTTACATTAGTACCACACCAAGAAGCCTCAACTATCTTAAATATCCTTAGTTACTCGTGGACCAATTATCCATTAATTCATCTGAGGTTTTTTATAGTCATATGTACTCTCTAACATATATTAAGTATTTCCCAACTTTACCCTTTCAGAACTCCAAGGGCTTATGAGAGTTTAAGTTTTCGGACTTGGTAAGCTAAATCTATAGCCATAGTCTTTACACCTGTATGGCATTCATCTTTAGATTCTGAGTAAAGGATGTCTATTACATACTTATATTTTTAATAACCTGCTTAAGATATGTTCGTATTATCTAAGATATATTGGGAAAACCATACAATTATGAGATAAATACACAGATTGGAGTTTTTTCTTGGCATTAGACCAACTTAAGTCTTCTCATTTTTAAAAATGTATACTATCTCTCTTTGACGGTGGTTTTGAGGGCTAAGATGATGAATATGAGAGTATTGGTCAACTACAAATAGAGCCCTTAACAAATAATGGGCAGTAGCATAACTTTTAAGCTCAAAATAGCCAATCTTAGTCAACTTCAGTATTATTCAATCTGGTGCTACAGTTAAAGGACAGACCCCTTTAATGGTTTTATTATTTAGTAAGAAAAGTCCTGATTGAACAACCATGAAAGTGGCCAAATGATCCTTTCAAGAATAAGCTGGAGTGCAAGGAAGTCTGCACAAAGTTATGGATATAAAATACCCTTGCACAGTATTTGTTTCACGTTTAAAATGAGGCCTACTAATGAGAATAAAATCAGCAATGACCACTCAAGAATCTATTAACATATCTTTTCTATTGGGGTACAGCTGCCCAAAGGCAGTCAGCATCTTCTGAGAGAATACAACCAGAGGGTCATTGAGGAACTTTTTTGTTTTCTGTTTCTCCCCTAGAATGTGACATTTAAGAACTTCTTAATAAAGATTTACTAATAATAAACATTTTACTATATTCCATACAATGTATCTATAAATTAAGAATATAAAAATAAATTCTTATCTTTAAGCTATTATTTAAACTATTCCTGATCTCAGTGTTGAGAGTGATAAAAAGAATAAATATATTTTGCAGGAGAGATCTGATTAGGCTAAAATGAATATTACCATATTTACATTAAATTTGATTGATCTTTAATCTGTGAAAAAAATCCTCATTTTCTGGAATGGTGTTAATTTTATTAGAAAGAACTCAAGCACTGACTCATGATTCAGTGGTGGCAGGTTTATTTGGGTGTCAGTCACTAAATCATACACATCTAAATGCAGCGACCCAGGCACATCATGAGGGTCCGGAGTACCTGGTTCTTCTCCTCGTGCTCTCTGATTCTGAACAATCTCCAGAAGCTGCTGGGCTGCTTGGTTTACACTCATGTACCGAGGGGGCTCATAGAGCTTCCTTCCTCTGTAAGTATAAAACTAGATGCCACTGTTCTTAGCCATGAAATTACATACACATTATGAATGCAATTACTACCCCCTCCCTCAGATATACTCAAGTACCACAGCCTACATTCTGTTTGAAGACTTTACATAACAACCACTTTATCCACTATAAAGTCTGGATACAGTGATTAAGTTTCTTAAGTTTTTTCTTTGTTTTATTCCATCTGTACTCTAATTTCACTGAAATGATGGCAGGAATAAAAATTCAAATTTAAAGACATATCTAAATCAAAGTTATCTTTATTTAAAGTGATGCCTTATACAAAAATAATTCAAAGTAAGTATCAACTTGGTCTATACATTAACTCAATCAGGTTTTATAGTGTTCTTTTTTGTTTTTTGTTTTCTCACTGGGATACAGTGTTCTTTTTAGGACTATGTTTAAACCACATAGTCCTCTCTTTACTTCTTCCTTTAAGAAAAGTAAACTGATGTATCCTGGATGCTTGAAAATCTTGGATGGTGACATATGTTTACTTCCATATGCCCCCAAAGCCTATCAGGTTTGCCCAATGATCATCATAATAAAAAATATAACTTTTAAAACAGAGCCACTAAATAGATTATTTTAGTGGTTCTCAAAGCAACTCTCTAAATCGGGGTGCACAATAAAATATAATGCAAACTACAAGGATAATCTTAAATTTATAGTAGTCACATTAGCCAAAAAGCTCAAGAAAGGCAAAATTAATGTTCATAATACATTTTATTTAATACAATTTTAGACAGCTTGCAGTTTAACTTTGGGAATCATTTATCATTTATTCAAATAAAAATTATTATTAAAGAGATTGTTTTATATGAAGTCTTTGATATCTGGTTTGTACTTAACAGCACATCTTGATTTGAGTATTAAATTTTCACTGGAAATATTTGATCTGCATTTAAATTTCATAAATACAGTTGTGAAAGTATACTTATATGTTGAGGTTGTTCCAAACATACTTAAAGGTTTCCTAATAATTAAATGGAGAATCAGTTTTAAAATAATTGAAATTAAATGAAAAAATCAGTTCCTCAGTCACATTAGCCCCGTTATGAGTGCTCAGTGGTCATACGTGGGTAGTGATTACACTGGGCACTGCCTCCCTGAGCAAAAAAGGATTAGGCCTAAATTATACATACGAAGAAAAGAAGGCACAGAGATGGAAGTGACTTGCCCACGAGCACACAGTGGAGGGACTCGGGACTCAAACTCACGTCTTCTGAATCCCCTTGCTTACGTCACTCCACCAAGACTGAATATCTAGTAGGTGCCAGCCACTGCTCTCAGTGTTGGTATGAAAGCTATTTCCACTCTGTTATGCTAATTATTTCATAAAAATAAAAGTGTTAAAGTTTAAATTGTCAGTGAAACCTATTTTCAACAATCTGTTGAACTCATGTCATTTAAGTAGAATGTATTGAATTATTCCAGGAACTAAAACAGATGTAAGCATTGTTAATAAGAACTTACTTCATTAGATTTTCCAGAGACTGCTCCTTTACTTTGATGTCTGTAAGAATAAAAACAGGTCTTTTCAGTACTTTATCCAAAACCCTATGTGTGAATGTCAGTTAAGAGTCACTTAAGTTTGGGGAAACATTTGGGGAAACATTCTTCTCAAGTCTCCAAAACACTCATCTCAGAGTTTTGACAGTCTTCCCTCACACTTATATCTAGCCACTTTCTTATAGAAATACAGAGAACAGAAACTTGTGCTTGTGTATAAAGGCCACTGGTTAAAAAACAAACACGAACTTGGCCCTGAGACCACCCTGCCGTGATCTAATTTCCTGCTGGAAAAGAAGACAAAGGAAAGAACTAGATAAATATTGGCATATACACCACCTAACAGCTAATCAAAATCCTTGTCATTTCTACTAGCTGGAAACTGCATAGGCCTAACTGAAAAACCTTGTTATATTCCTATTATTATTTTTCAGGCACCAGAATGTAAGTTTCAGTGGATATAACATAAACAGAAAAAAATCTTAACAACACATTTTGAAGAGAGATTTTTTTCCTATAATGCATAAATAATACCAAGTATTCATACTTTTAACAGGGCTTTAGAGCCCTGTGTGTCAGACACTGCACCAGGCACTGGAATCCCACCGGGACCGAAGCAGACTTACCATCTGCTCTCATGAAGCTGGACAGTCCCAGCTTCACAAATATTGGATTCTTTACACTCTTTTTTATCACAACTGCTCAGCTTAACTATTTGGTAAAAGGTAAAAAAGCAGAATCACTCTACATCCTCACAGGAACTCAGCACACAACAGCAAGACCAACAGCTGCTTCCTGTTTTACATGCTGGACACAAATGGTTCAGCCAAAGTTTGTTTATGCAAAAATAAATATAGTGTAACTGATGAGTCTTTGGTAGACTTCTGCAGCTTTCCTAAGCGATTATAAAAGTTTTTTTCTGATAAAAAGGATACTGAAGAATTTACTTGGAAATTAATAGCAGAGATTAATCTTATCCATGTATTTTTAAATGTTCTTGGAACCAGCACTGACAATATTTTTCAGGTTAGAAATTTCATTACCTATTTAATGTTTCTACTAGTCTGGCACACACGGGGGAAAAATGAACATGTTATTGAAAACGTGGTCTCTGATACAGCTAATGGTGTAAGTCAACTTTTAGATTTCCTTTAAAAGGCATTTCTAATATTTTTAACCAATTTATTCATTCACCTCAAGTTTCTGAAATATTGTTTGCAATAGTAAGATTTTTTTTGTATTGTCAGTTTCTTTTACTTTTTTGATGACATGCTCTACAGAATTTGATTTTAAAAGTGCAGAAGGCTTAGAAATTTTTACAGGCAAATGCTTTTCATCAAGCATAAGACTGCATTAGTGAATCAGTCGCAAGCCAGACCAATATTACAGTAATAGTATAATCCCTTATCTTCACACAGCCCATCATTTTTCCTCTGTATTTCTACTTTCTAGAATGTAAACTACTCCTATTCATCTCAGTTCCAGGGCCTAGCACAATGTGAAGTACCCAGGAGACGCTCCACAAATGTCTACTGAATAAGTTTACTCACATGGCTTTCCTAGCAATGCGTCTTAAACCATCCACCCTTTAAGCAACGTAAGTCCCACTTCCTTCAGAAATTCTTTGTTGATCCCCTCAAACGCTTTTTGTTCCTGGAGCAACTTATATAATTAATTGTATTAACCTCTAATTATAGCATATATATTGGTCCTGCCTCTGTAAATTTTAAATTCTCTAGCATGTTTTATTCTAATTCCTACACTAATTCCTACAGTATGCTGCCCATAGCAGGCGTTCAAAAAATACACACTAACTTAAATAATGAGAATGCCAGATGATTAAATGATGAGAACTATGGTTTGAGGCTCTGGAATCATGACATCCTATACTTCACACCCTGTTCCTGCTTTTGTTATTGGAGCAAGGACGATACATTGTTTAACCTTGTTTGTGTTTTCCCAGGAAAGCCAAGAAAAGATGCAGCTCTTAGAGAACTCAAGAGCCAAAGTTCTGGTTTGTCCTTCCTGATTCTCCATACAATAGAACTTAATTGTTCTTTAAACTTTCAAGTGCATACAACATTATTTCCAAACTAGACTTCAAAACTCTGAGGGCAGGACCTGAGTCTAACACTCCTTGGTATTCCAAAAGAGCCATATAGGGCACAGAGTAATTACTCAATAAATACCCGTAGACTAGTTTTCTACCTGCTTTTCTAAAACTTTCCAGAGGACAAATGCTGCTCGCTCTCCGTCTCCCCATTTTTAATGGATATACAGGGAGGTTATGAGGTAGCCTGCCTCTCAGACTCTTCACTCCCTGTTGTTTTTAAAAACGCTCAGTTTTGTTCTAAAACACACACATGCACTTTTTCTTTAGATAGTCTATCACGCTGACTAGAGTACAGTGGCATCCTCATAGCTCACTGCAACTCAAACTCCTGGGCGCAAGTGATCCTCCTGTCTCAGCCTCCTGAATAGCTGGGACTACAGGCATGTGCCACCAAACCTGGGGTCTCACTCTTGCTTAGACTGGTCTGGAATTCCTGACCTCAAGCCATCCTCGAGCCTCAGCCTCTCTTCAACCAACTAAGGAGCCTGCCCCACGGCACCTGGCCGGAGCCACCACACTTGCACTCTTGTGTCCAAGCTCCAAGCTCCACCTTTCATCCGTCTCAGCAGAAGTGACACATACTTCTACTACTTCCTCTAACAACTGTCCTTCCAGCAGCTGGCCTTAACTGGATTCAAGGTTGAGAGAACAAGACACAGTCCACACTGATTCACAAGTGCCTTATGATGGTCTTCTTGTTAGTACTGTCTACAAAAAAGTGAGATCAGCTTCTTTTCACGTGAAAAATCCGCGGGCAAAATTACAAAGCTAATGATAAAGCACTAAATCACACTGGCGATGTACTAAAATAAGAAAACCCATCGTATCAGTTCATTGTGAAATACAGGCATAAACCAAAAATAAAAGGGTCTGAGAAGCATTTATGGCCTGATCTAGATCTAGAATTGATTAGGTGTCACTGTGAACAGAGTAAAAGGAATGTATTCTGCTGAAACTCCGTGAACTAGCAAGAGTTAAAAGTTTTCTGTGCCAGTGGGTAATTAGGCCAAGTCTGAGAACATCAGCGAAGCAAAACTTCAACCAACCAACTTCCACAAATATTTACTGAACGGCTACACTGTGCCAGACTTCTGGTCAGAAGGAAAAAAGCAGTGAGCAAGACAAAGGCCCTGCTCTTATGAAGCAGAGAAGAAGTCAACAAAGTTAATAAAATAATTCAGATGGGTGGTAAGACTATGAGAAAAATAACATATGGTAATGCAAGAGTCTCACTGAGGGGGTTCCGGTGCAGCACATTAGATAAAAGTTCCTTCTAGACCAGGAGTCTGCAAACTCTGTTAAAGGCCAGACAGTGAATAGTTCAGGTTCTGAGGACCATAATGTTTCTCTCATAACTGCTGATCACTGCTGTTACAGCACAAAGGTAGCCAGAGACAATGCACATCAATGAATGTGTGTGGGCATGTTCCAATACACCTTATTCCCAAAACAGCAGCAAGCCCAATGTGATCCCGGACACTAGCTTGCCAGCTCCTGCTCTAGACATTAATTTCCAATGTCTACCCCATAAGAAATGCTACCATTGGTAAAACTCAATTATCTTTTCTGTTAAGACATACTGATTGCTTTCATACTGACTGGGTTGCTTAATGTTGTACATTATTAAATAATAATTTAATGGAGACATGGCCATTATTATGCAAATAATTTAAAAGTTTTTGGCAAATAGAAATCTTCCCTACTCTTTTGAGTATCTATACTTTCAGACACACAAGGCTAAAATCATGGATTCTTTCTCTGCCCTCATCCTGGGCTGTGTGTTAGACGTTTTGCTGGGTGATTCACACACAGTCATCACTAAGACAATACAACTCAAAGTATGATGCGAGGAATGATGCTAATATGGAAGCTTTTGGTTACCAGTAACTGAAGAAGTAACTACACGAATGAGAATCGATATTAATGTTTATAGTAATTTGACACTGACACAAAAGATTAAAAATTATAAAACAAACATTTAAAAAAAAAACACCCAACCCTAGTCCTTTACCACAAGCAGATTGAGAAGTACTGCTCCAAACAACTCCACGAGGCAGGAAAGATTACTCCCTAAAAATACCAAGGCCAAGGTTGAGGGATGTTCACAATATTCTCTAGCTAGTTAAGTAACAGCACTGGAATTCTGTCTCCTGATACCAGCTGTGAGCACCACTTCAAAGTCATCAAACATGTCAGTAAGTCAGTAAGCTGTGTTCTGTTCATCAATCACAGATTGAAGTTTTGCTACCAGTATTTTCTTTTTTCCTACAATATATGCTATTAGAATAGGGCTGACCAGTCAATAGAATCAGTACAACTTCGGTGCCTCTACTGGAAAGCAAACCCCAATCCCTTCTGAAGCTCAGTACCATTCTCTATGTATACAAAGACAGTGCTCTCAGGTCCTCCCACGCTAAATAGAAAACAGGATTTGGGCAGGATGGTATGGTGAAAAGAGGTGTGAACAAAAGGCTGTCTGATTCTATCAGTTCTGTCACCAAGTAGCTAGATAATAACATTGGGAAAATGATTCAATACGTTGGGCCTCAACTTTATCGTAAAAAAGACTTCAATAAGATGATCTCCAGATCTACCACTCTGTGTTCTTATAGCATCAATACCTTCAATACTGCAGTATTCAAAGAATGTCTCTAGGAAAAAGTGGGATGATGCCTGATAAGAATAAATGTTCACTATGAGTTGAACTGCAGTAAAGTGACAAGAAGAGGGTCTTGATGGACAAATGGGTAAGATACGGGATTCTGGAAAGGATCTATTAGGGCTCAGGAGGAAACAAATAAATTATGGCATGAATGCAGGAACAGCCATGTTGTACCTGCTGTTTCTGCATTCATGCCGATATATAAAATAAATCTGTACAACAGAAGATGTATGGCTTCCTGAGAACATGGCAAAGACTGTAGCAAGGACAGAGTGGCGAGATGGTGTTCTGTTTTACCTCTAGCTAGTTACCATAGAACAGTTTTCACCTTAAAACAAAATCAAAATGAGAACAATACGGCTATTCGGCACTGTGACTTACCGAGCAAGCATAACGTGTGCATGCTGTTGTGTCTGTTCTTCTGCACTTTGTCCATGAAGCTTTCTGGTCTCCAAGTGTCTGTCCAAAAAACAATGGAAACCGTCTCTCCAAACCTGTATAACTAGGAAAATAAAATGAATTAATAATGGAACAATTCACTATTATCTCGTAGATAAGCAGAGAATTTAATTCTTTGCCAATAAAATTAAAAGTGAGAAGCAGACTTGAGATGAATATCACAGATAAAATCTGTGATAAAATACAAAGTAACAAGTACTCTTTGGTTTACAGCAGGTAATGTCTTTCTGATGTCCCTTTTAGTAGTAAGCCTCTAGGATTTCTGCATTCTGCACAGGAACATATGTAACAAATTCACAATTTATCTATGTAGTTGTTAAAAATACTGAAATACAAAGAACCCAGAAAACACAGAAGTAAGGAAGGAAAGGAGAAGAAGGGCAGCGCCTGTAACTCAGTGGGTAGGGCACTGGCCCCATATGCTGAGGGTGGCGGGTTCAAACCAGGCCTCCGCCAAACTGCAACAAAGAAAATAGCTGGGCATTGTGGCGGGCACCTGTAGTGCCAGCTACTTGGGAGGCTGAGGCAAGAGAATCACCTAAGCCCAAGAGCTGGAGGTTGCTGTCAGCTGTAACACCACGGTACTCTACCATGGGTGATAAAGTGAAACTCCATCTCTTAAAAAAAACATTTATAATAGACTGGAAAGCACTAGTTTCTGAAGACCACATCTAGCCCTCTGACACAAATTAATGGTGGGCCTTTTAAAATAGCTGTGTGACTTGAGGAAGTCACCGAAGTTTTCTAAACCTTGAGTTCTTCATTTGAAAATGAAGAAACTGGTCAGGAGGCAGAACTGGTCATCCTCTGCTTCCAGTAGACTATGGCTTCTCAGATGGGTTTCAGAGGCTGCTGCAAGAGGTGCGGGAAGGCGGGACAGGAAGGAAACAGAGCAGGCGGGGCATCTGGGGTCCTTCACGCCTTCGTCCCCAGAGAAGCTCAATGCTTCTTAGTTTGTAGGTACTAAAAGTCCTAAAACTCTAACCAATACTCATAATGAGCCTTCTAAAGGGAAGGCTCATTACGTTCCTCAGAAGCCGCGGCCACTATCGTACCTCTCAACAGGCTTTACTCCCGGAGTTCATTTGCAAGCTGTGTAAAAATGTCTTCTCTCACAGAAGCCGGGCAAAAAATTCATACGTCAGCCTACAGAGACCCATGTAATTCCAAGCATTCAGTATGACATTTAACAAGATTTCTCTGTGAAAATGTATTTCAAACTCCAATGTGGCATTCCTAGAATGCATTCACCCTCTGCCAAGTCATTAGCAATAGCCTCGGCCCTACAGAGGGGTTCTGTTACTGTTCTCGGAGTGGCAAATTCCCAGCAAATGTTGTAGGTCATCTACTATGGTCGGCACAGGTTTAAAGTGACAAGCAAAGCACAGCTCTGGTCCTCACAGACTGTCCAGCCTCGTTCATACGTCATACAGCAGGCTCATCTCTAAAGTCACAGCACTGGTTCTTTGTAGTTGGGTGACCACGAACAAGCCAAGTAACCTTCTTGACCCTGGGGAGGAACCCTCCTGCAAAATGGGCCTAATAACTAAGAACATAAAAATGTGGCTTTGAAGGATTAAATGCCAGAGAGTATGCAGAGTGCCTGGTGGTGCCTCACACACAGTGAAGACTCAGTAATGTCAGGAACCTGATGATGCAATGATGATAATGTTTATAATAATTATATGAAAATGTTCCAAAATGCCATGTCTTGCATCCAACTGCTTTTCTTACAGAAATGAGTTCAAAAATATTACTGAATTTTTAAAACTATACTTCTTATTCAATTCTGATAAGTCCAACTATTTACCTTCTGCAAAGGATTATTTACATCTCTGATGAAACTTGGAAATATTACTATAATTCCATGAAAAAATTTCAAGGGAAAACAAAGTTACACATGTAATCACACATAAATACTTGTAAGTGTCATAGAAATAGTCATGGAAGTAAATAACTAAGTTCTTCATTAAAAAGGAAAGTGACAGACCATTTAAAAAATGATTTGAGATGCTCATCACAAGTAAACACTAACTACAGCCTTCAGTGTAAAAAGCGTCTTTGAGTTGTCTGATTTGGGGAATTACAGAAAACCTCAGGCATGTGCTACTTTCTAGGACCTTGACTTAACCACTTTTGTGGCCAGAGGTACAAACTTCTTCAATGACTCCTGGAACATTATGCAAACAGTTTCACCACTTAGATGTTAGCACCTCAAAAAAAGAAGAATCAGTTCTTTGTGTTTCCCAATCCAAGGACTTACCAGTAAACTATAAAAAGAAACTGGAGCACAATCTTACAGTGACGAGAACTGAGGCTGCAGAAGCCTACATATTCAACTTTCTCATAATGTAGGCCTTTCTAATTTTTTCCTAAAACATTACTGTTGAAAATCTAAATTTAAAGACTATACAAATAGAAGTTTTCTAAGAAACAGGAGGTAAATACAGGCCTCTTTAATTTTAACCTAGAGTAATGTATAGAGGAAGCAGTTAACTTGATACCGGACCATGTTTAATCTATTTAAGACAAATTTAAAAAAAAAGAAAACCACAAATCAAAATCATCCATTTGTCATGTAGAAGGCACTATCAAGTTTGACTGAAAGATGCACAAGAAAGGCAAATAGTATTAGGTAGCAACAATCTCCTATCAAATGAGACCTAGACTCTCGTACCTTGAATTCAACACGCCTCCCACTCAGCGAGCACCTAACAGCAACTTCTGAAGACTCAGGTGCCTAGTGGTGTCTTACACGAAAGAAAGACTCAGTAAATGTCAGGAACCTGATGATGTGATCAAGATAATGTTTATGATCCTAATGTGAAAATGTTCTAAAATGCTGTGCCTTGCTCTAATTCAACTGCTTTTCTTATTAGAATGAGCTCAAAAATATATTACTGAATTTTTTAAGGATAAGATAAAGACTGGAGAAGTTGAGCCTGGTGGAAAATGAGATAGGATGAAGAAAAGTAAGAGGTGGGAAATCTTGGGCAAGGTTTTGAATGGTATTAAATAATTACCTGGAAACAGCTAGCTCTATCTGATTTGCCTAAGCTGTGTCTCTAACTCCTGGCAGGCCTGTCAGTTGTAGCCACATGATTTACCACTCGATTCTCTCCCTGCCACCTTGCTTGGAGCCTCACTATCCCCTGCCTGAATGACCCTAACGGCCTCCTAACTCATCTTACTGCCACCAATATTTCCTTCCTTTCAGAAACACAGACGCTTTATAGAACTCCACTTTAATTATAATGTCTTTGTTATTTCATATTACAAATAACATTTTCTGTGGTTTTTAAGTTAAAATATGTTAAATTAAGAAATGTGATATACATATAAAAATTGGAAAATTAAACTTAAGAACTCTAGTAAGCCCTATAAATACCATATATACATATATTCTAAATCAAATCAGTTAAATCTGCGCAGTGAAAAAAGGCTGAGCTACCAGAATTGTCCAAAAACGTACCACAAAACCACATAATCAACAGTGACTAGTTTCCCCTCCTATATAGAATACTGGCCTTGAGGCTGGGGCATTTGGTTGTTGTTTTTATTCCCACATGAGTTCTGGTTACCACCAGTGTTAACACTGATTTTTGCTGACACTAAGAAGATCAGACACATTGCCACACACTAGGTACGCAGGTAAAGCTGAACGGCTGTGTGGACAGAAGAGCTATAAGATTTATATTCTTACACGTAGAGGACAGAATTCATTTGTGAATCAACTTAAACAATTACAATGTAAAGCATACAATTCCAAAGACAAGGTGCAACTCGGGGGTGAGAGTTGGGGGAGGAAATAAATAGAGAAGAAATTCAATTCAGCAAATATTTGCTGCGTATTGATTATGTGCACAGCGCTGTACTTTAGGGCAATGCAAGAGGTGAAAATGAGTCAGAGTTCATACATAGAGTACTAGTGTACTAGTACTAGGACTCATACTAGAGTACTAGTTCAAAACATAGGCACGTACTAGTAACTGAACATTCTGTATAGGATGGGGATTTACCAGAGTTGTTTGTATAGAAGAATGACACAAGTGGATCAAATATTTGAACAGAGAATTATGGCACAGAAAGAAATGACGCTAAGGCAGCTATCAAAACAGTAAAAGTGGAAATAGAAAGCAAAGGAAAAATGTTTTAATACGTCCGTGATTTATCAGATGGTCAAAAGTAGCTCTTAAGTGACTAAAAGAACAAAAAAGAGTTATATGAGTTTTTCTAAGCTTACAGAACAATGCAGAACTCTGCCAGCCTCATTACCTAGTGGGGTGTTCTCTGTACTGGACGTGGTGTTATCACTTCTACAAAAGTCCCTGGACAACAGTGAAACCAACCAATGCTTCTGAAAACTGACAGTAGGAACTGCTACAAGGGCAACAATACTGATTGTCATGATGAGTGCTGTGGTATTAAAAAAAGGAAGGAAATGAGTTGTTACTTTTTGAAAGTAATATTTTTCCAAAGTAGAAATGCATTATATAAACAGAAGAACATATGGTAATACTCAAGGTCACTCATGCAATAGCCAGAGAAAGTGGAAGCATTTCGTAATGATGAGAAAATAAACAACCTTTTCCCTGAAGTCAGCCACAACTGATAACACAGCTTTTATCCAGAAATCATTGCTACCTGGTTTCATGGAACTGTCTCATTTATCTGTCCCTTACATGCCTCAAATTGGTGTTAAAATTTCAGTCACGAAATTTTCACAAAAGAATATATCACACAAATAATTAATCAAACTAATAAATACTACCCAAAGAAGCATTTCAGAATTTCTAATTTCTAGTTTTTGTTTGGCCTGCAGAGTCAAGTAAATATACACATCCTAAGTGTGGAGTAAGACTGAAAGAAAATATATAAAAATCATAACTGGATATCCCTAGGTGGCAGAACTATGAATGCTTTAAATTTTTTTCCTTATATTCATTATATTTTTCTATGAATATAAGTCATTTATTATCAAAGAAAAATTAAAACGGTTCTTCTAAAGCAGGAACAATGCAAAACAAATGCACTTCTGCCCTA